GACAGGGATTGACAATTAAGAGCTCATTCCAATAAGGACCCACCTTAAGTCTGCATCTGGGTTGAGATCAAGGTTTGGGGGGGGGGCAGCTCCCTGTCCTGTTGGGCTGAGAGCCTGGCAGGGCCTGGGGGCAGCACCTGTGCAGAGAATAAGAAGGGGGAGCAGCAGAGGGGTCCAGGCCATGGTGCAGACACCCCAGAGCTCTGCCTCGTGAGTCCTCAAGGCACCGTGGGCTCCCCAGGCCTCTCTTGTGCCCTCTCAGTCCTCTGGGGCCCTGATGTTTCAGTGTTTATGCAAATGCACTCCCCATCTGGGTTCCAAAGTGAGCAGTTAGCAGAGATCACTTTTACCACTCCCAGGGGACAGGCCGGGTGACTGAGGAGGAAGGGCTGAGTGTCCAGATTATTCTAGCTGCTTCTCAGGTCAGAAAATTATCCCTGGACTCTCAGACCCCTGATCACCGTCACCTTCCTGGGGTCTGACTGAAACCCTCCCAGCCGGGCGTCTGTCCTGGGCCGGCACAGCAGGGCTGCAGGCCTTCCAGGAGCCTGGCCACAGGGCTGAGCTGGGCCCTCTGAGACATAAGTGACAACTCCTGACTCAGCAGGTGCAGGGCCCTGGTCCTGACCTCTTCCTACTCCTTCTTCACATCCTCTCTCTGTCCCCACACACGTACGAGTGTCCATCATCACCTTCATTAGACGTGGTTCCGTGGGGCGAGGATGTGTGGCGGTGCCTCTGGTGTGATGTGTTCCTTGTTCAATGTGCTCCTGCTTCGAGCGATTCACACCAGCTCCCAGTCTCCCCACACTGGTGTGTGTGTCCCTTCCTCCGAGCCCCTCTCCACACAGACTCGCTATGGGGGCTGTTGACCCTTTGGTCCTTCTAAAATGCTGCATCAGGGTTTTAGCTGACCTGGGAAAAGCTCCAGAAATCCACCTGACTGAGACCCCAGCTTCAGGCCCCATGTGCTCTGTGAGGGTCCCTGGGGACCTGGTCTTCACTCAGGTTGTGATGTCTGGGGACCAGACATTGTGGTCTCTCCTTTGAGGCGAACTTGTTCCTGACAAAGGACAGCCTGATGACCAGAGCTGGACTGGAGTAGGGAGAATCTACTCCATTCAGTCTCCTGAAGTGTCTGTGCTGCTCCAGGCAGGGACCAGAGGTTCTGACTCTGCCCACTTCTCCTGAGATGGCCCTGAGCAGAGCAGCTGCAGCCCCAGGGTCAGAGAGCACCCAGAGGTGGGAACAAGAGGCAGAGGGTGGCAGGTTACGATGTGTCTTTCCTACCCAGACAGGGAGTCAGGCCCAGGATTCCTTCCTACAGAGAGGTGACCTGCATTTCATGTGAAGCATTCACAGGTGCCTGTCAGGGTCCAGCAGTGACACTGTGTGAGTCTGACTGTCACAATGTGGTCATTGGGTCTCAAGGGGACAGATGGAACTTCCTGAAGTCCAGCGCCTGCACTGAGCCTTGGAACTGCTGACCCCAGGGCTGGTCTCCCTCTGAGGCTCCAGCTGGGCAGCCCCAGCTTCTGCCCAGGCTGCTCCTGGATGCAGCTCCACTGCCCCCTGCTGGTGGGAAGAACTCAGACTTGGAGTTTCCCTCTTGCAGGTCACCCAGAGTGCTTGTCACCTGAAAGAGTGTGACCCCTGCCCTGTGCAGCCCTGCTTTGAGAGGTCATATAAAGACTGCAAGAAGGCGGGAGGTGCAGTTCTGGTCACACTGTCCCAGGGGTACAATGGGCTTCCTGCTGATCGGTTTAGTTAGTAGAGTGGAGGGTGCACAATGAACTCTCCTGTTTTGCAAAGTGTCAAATCCCGTAGAAACCCACATGTTACCCTACAGGAGTCCAGGCTTTCAGTGTATCTCAAACCAGAGCTGTCTCTACCCTTACCCCAGTAAGGACTGTGGGACACAGATTTTCCTACACTGACATGAGCTGGGCACTGAACTCAGTGTCACTGCCGTCACCCCTAGGGCCGTGATTGCATCCCTGCTCTCACCTCCCAGAGTGAGCAGTGGGTGGGGTCTGCTCTGGCCCCTGTGGCCTTTGACCAGACTAGGAGCCTCCTGCTCCTTCCATCTGGGAGCGACCCCTTCCCACAGATGTCAGCATCTGCTGGTCCCTCTCTAGGTCCCCAGAGGATGGACTGGAGGTGCCAGACCTGAGCCCCAACTGACCTCCTGCCCAGTCTCTAAGACACTTTCTTTTCTTTTGTACCATTTAATTTGGGGGAATGAAGGAGTTTCCAAATTAAGTATAAAAGTTGCCACTTAATAGCAGGTAAAGCTGAGGCCTAAAGACTAGGTCCCCAGGAATATTGAGAAAATGCGGTGAGTCCAGGAGAGGAGTCCCAAGGTCCTGGACCCTGACTTTGGCTCTTTGGGGCCGAGTGTGACCAGAGGTGAAGGGGTTACGTGAGGGCCCGGCTGGGTGGTAGGGTGGTGTCCTCCGGGCTCATTGTTGTCCCCATGTCCTCCTGGCTGTCATGAGAATCCCCCTCACCAGGGATGTTGGGGTGTCAGTAGCTGCTTCCAAGTCAGAGCTGCAGAATCTCTGGGGACCCTGTAGCTGTTTTGCTCTGCAGGGTCTGGCCTGGGTCCTGCTGGATCTGCTCTGCCATACTGATTGGTCGTCAGCTCCCTAACCAGTGGGAGTGACAAGTGTGTCATGGCCACTCCAGTGAAAGCAACTGTGTCCTCAGGAGACCATGAACGTGCAGGTCCCAGAAACAGAGGGTCACTCTCAAGGGTCCTACCCCTTGCAGCATCCCCTGGGCTGAGCTCAGGCTCTGGGTTCAGTGAGTGTCAAGCCCACAGGCAGGGCCTGGGGCACCAACTGTGCAGAATGAGCAGGAGGGGGGCCCGGGCCTCAGGGGTGATGCTCCAAGTCCTGCAGCTGGTTCTGACCCCGGGGGCCCCAGCCTCCCTCAGCGCTCAGTAGTCCCTGTGAGAATGCTTTTCAGAGGCCTGTGCGGGACAGAGCTCTGTGTGGGCGGGATGTGTGGGTGTAGGTGATGCCAGGCACTTACCCCTTCTAACGTACCGAACCTTGTACTGACGTGCTCTGTTTCTTTGTTGTATTTGTCCTTTATTGCCAATCCCACAAGGTCAAAGCTCCAGGGGAAGGGCGTTTTGTCTGTCTCCTTCCCTGTAGCAGCAGCACAGTGCACAGGGTGTGAGACCGTCAGAGACTTGGCCCTCACTTCATACTGTTGCTCACGTGAAAGCTTCACGTGTCTGCAAGACATCAGATTACCACGCGTTATTCCAACTCCATTTCACATTGTCTGACAGATGGCTTAGTCTAATTAGTGACTTGGAGAAAAAGCAACGACTCAGCCTCAATGTTCCTAAGCAGCGGAGGCAGGTCACGGTGGTCCTCACGGGACCCATTCAGCCTTTCCAGGGCCCTGGGACTCTGCCTTTCTCTCCCTGGTGAGTAGTGGGACGTGCCAGGTAGCCTCTATCAGGTTCCTAGAGCACCTGGGCTCATGATCTGAAGAGTTTCTTCTCTCACAAGAGAAATGCAAAATCCTACAATCAGATGCAGGCACTCCAATGTTTTTCTTCAGAGAGAGGAGGACGAGAGGGGGAGGGGAAGGGGGAGGGGAAGGAGAGACACTGATCAGTAATTACACCCCTTCCTGCTAAAACAAGAACCACAGACACAGTGGTTTCATGGTAAATTCCATCAAACATGTGAGGAAGAGTAACTCCCACTCCACGGGGCTCTGCCACCACACTGCCACAGGGGACGCCCTTTCTTATCCATTCTCTGAGGTCAGCAGGGCTGTGATCCCTGAGACACCTTCACATAAAGCAAACTGCAGAGGAGCACCCCAGCAGCGAGTCCACAAGCCTCAGGGACCTGTCAGGGGGAGGGACCTCATGGAGCTACTCTGTGCACCCCAGGGTCCCCTCCGGACCCCCTAGACTCACTCTCTTTCCACCTGTGTCTGTACCGCAGTCCTGTTCACCTGGCAAGGTCATGTGGGTTTCTGGTAGGCAGCCTTTAGCTGAGTCTTGCTGGAAAATTCAGTCTCACTGTAACTCTCTTTGAATATATCTTCATGATTTCATGTTATTGCCCTTGGTGGCATTAAGTCTAACTGATGTTTAGAAAGGCTTTTATTTTAAGGGTTGTGGTAGCATCTGCAGGACACACCCGACTTACCAAAGTCCCCCTTCTAGTGCTGTCGTATCGCTTCACATATGACATAGGGACATTACATCATGGTTTTCACCCTCCAAAAATTTTGCTCACATTGTCCTGCATTTTGCTTTAACTAACATTATAAATCACTTCATACCCTGTTACTGTTCTTTTTCTTTGAACAATATAATAAAATGTTTCTCTTCATCCACGTAGTTACCTTATCTGGTGCCTTTCATTTCTTTGCATGGATTCCTCTTTCTGTCTGGGTCACGTCCCTTCCGTCGGAGGGGTGTCCTCCCTCCCTCCCTGCACTCAGGGTCTGCTAGTGGTCAGCTGTGCACGTGGCTGTGCGTGTGAGCAGGGGTGGTTCTGCCCCTTCCTCAGAGGCGTTTCTCTGGGCGGAGCTGGAAGCCGACAGCTTTTGTGTTGGGTTGTTGTCTGTGTTCTGAAGACGCTGCTCCTGGCTCCTCCTGGTTGTGTTACTTCCACCGAGAACCCTGTGCTCCCATTACGGATCTTCCTGTTTGGGGGACGTGACTTTTGCTCTGCTGCTTTTTGATGGTCTCCTCCACACGGGTGTGAGAGGTTTGGTTGTCATGTGTGTGGGCGCCGTTTCCTTTGTGTTTTAGGTGCTGGGGAGTGTGATGTTTCTTAGATCTGTGGGTTCTGAATGCTCACCAAAAGTAGAACGTTCTGGCCCATATTTCTTTCAGCTTTTTTCCTTTCTACCCTCCCCTCCCCACCCTTCACATCTGTTCAGGATCCCAGGCAGCCGTCAGATCCCAAGGCCTCAGGAGCTCAGAGCAGGAGGACAGTTCTGGGGACTGATTCAGAGCCGTGGGCCTGTGAGTGACACAGCCTCCATCACGTGGACATGCAGTGTCCTTCACTGCTGCGTGGATGTCTCCCTCTGTGTCCTTTCATTCAGGCCTTGTGTCCCTACTCACACCCTGGCCTAGAAATCCCCAGGACATCCTGGTCCTGCCAGCAGTGAATTTACTGCTGTCCCACCCTCTGCAGAGCTGGCTGAGAACTGGGAGGAGGGGACAGCATGGGGATCTCACACCTGGGGCCTGAGTGAGACCTGCTCATGGCCTTGTCTCTGGGCATATTTGGACAGAAAGCGAGTGTGGTGCACTCAGTGTTTTTTGTCTCACTTCCCCACCTGCCTGTGTCACTGTGAGTGTTACTACTACTCTCCCTCACCGCACAGAAGTAGTCAGCCTCGTCCTCAGCCCGGGCCCCACTGATGGTCAGGGTGTTCATGTCCCCTGAGTATGAGATAGAGAATTGATCTGGGATCCCTGAGGGTCGATTGTTGTTATCATAGATGACTGTTACAGGGGCCTGGCCTGGCTTCTGCTGCACCCAGGTAGGATAATAGTTTCTCAGAGCTTCCCCCTGGCAGGTGATCCTGGCCGTTTGTCCCAGGGTCACAGACACTGCTGAGGGCTGAGTCACTTCAGAAGAGGCCACCAAACCTGAAAGAGAGGACAGGAGAGGTGAGTGTGAGGATGAGGGTCTCCTTCCCAGAAGACACACACCCTGCAGGGTCCCCTGGGCTGAGCAAAGTTCAGGGCCAGGTCTCTCCTGGTTTCTTTGGGGGCTTAGCCTTGGGAGTCAGCACCTGTGCAGAGAGTGAGGAGGGGGAGCAGGAGCGGGGTCCAGGCCATGGTGGAGAAGCCCCAGGATCTTCCTCTGACCCACAGCTGAGGATGTGGCTTCGGGGCCTGTCTTATCCTGCATAAGGGGCTCCATGCAAATCCACTTCCTTCCCCTCGTGGCCTTGCTGAGTGGCACCCGCTGGGCAGAGAGCAGCTGGGGCCAGTGGAGGGTTTAAAGTTGGGTCCTCACCTCCAGGTCTGTGCCCAGGTTGCTCAGAGCTCTCTGTGGTATTGAGGGGACGGTGCTGACCCCTGACCAGCCCCTGCACCCACACCTGGGCTGAGTCTCCTGTCTGGTCTTGGGGAGAGCGCTCAGACGCCTCCAGTGATGAGATCACAGTGTGGTGTGGGGTGGGGGTGCTGGAACCAGGAGCCGGTAGGGACAGTGGTCAAGCTGGTGTCAGAGGCTGGACTTTGCTCCAGGACACAGTGACACTGGTCACGTGCCTCTGGGGGAGTTTCTATTATTTTTTTAAAAATCAGAAAATCATTTGCATCTTGGTCTTGGCAAAAGATCTTAGACTCATAAAAATCCTTGATAGGTAAAAAGAAAGAAAATAAGTGGAAACCCTTTAAAATTAAAAACTTTGTCCTACAAAAAGTCCTTTATGGAGCTAATTTAAGAAAACAATGAAGTGGGATAAAACACTTGGCAATCCCAGCCCGCCAGGGAACCATGTGTATAAAGTTTCAAAACTCATATGCAAAACAAACAGGCATGGCTGGGCCAGGGGTTGTGTGGCTCAGTTGGTTCGAGTGGCATCCAAATGCAGCAGGGGTTCGGGTCTGGCCCATGGTTGAGGGGCAGATGGGAGTCGACCAATGAGGCCACGAATGGGCAGAGCAACAGACACATGGTTTTCTCAAATCATTAACAAAATTTAAAAGATAAACAAAACAAAATTCTATTTGAAAATGGGCAAATGACAGAAATAGACAGTTGATGGAAAAATATACAGATGTCAAAAAAACACAGAAAAATGTTGATAAGTCGCCACCAGGGAAGGTAAGTTAAAACCGGAGCGAGACACCTGCACACCGGTCAGCACGGAGCAGACTGACTGAGGTGAAATCGGGGCAGCTCCAGACACTGGTCAGGCAGTGAGAAGGGGGTCACTCACTCAGGGCTGGTAGGAAGGTCAGATGGCAAAGCCACAGTGGACAAACAGCCGTGGACTTAGTATAACATGAACATGCAATTATCATACAGCCAGTCACTGCATCACTGGGCATTTATTTCATAAAATTAAAAACTTATGTTTACATAGAAATGCATACACAAGTGTTCACAGCACCTGTCGAGTCTCCTCAGACTGTAGTAACCAAACACCACTGAGTTGCTTAAAGTTGGAAGTCAGAGAGAGAGAGAGAGAGAGAGAGAGAGAGAGAGAGAGAGAGAATGACAGAGAGAGACAGTCTGGTCAGTGATCCCATTATACCAGAGCCCCACCCATGACACATCCTGTGGCTCCCATCACTTCCTTAGAGTCCCCGCCTCCACATACAGCTACACTGGGAGTAAGGACTTCAACGTCTAAACTTTGGAAGACACAATTGCTCAGTTCATACCAGCGCCTTTACACATAAGAACCCCAAACTAAAAGCAATTCAGAACTCCTTCAGGGTGATGGTTAAACAGACACTGGTACATGTAAATAACAGAATATTATTCAGCCAAAAAAATGGACTATGGATACACACAACACCATTGATGAGTATATGAGGAAATACAATGAATAAATGACCAATCAAAAATGTTACGTTCTGTAGGATTCTATTTATACATAATTTTCCAATGACAGACTTTGAGAGATGGGGAAGCAGGTGATGGCTGCAGGGCTGAGGGGCAGGGGAAGGGTCTGAGTGGGAGGAGGTGGGTGTCGTAAAAGGGAAACATGAAGAGTCCATCTGTGATGGGACCACATGGAATCCTGACCGCTGTGGTGGGCGTATGAGCCTGCACGTGGGAAGGAAGTGCATAGCGGTGGCTGGTGTGGCTCAGTTGGTTGGAGCATCATCCTCTGATCACAAGGTTGTGGGTTTGATACCTGGTCTGGGTGCCTATGGGAGGCAAACAATCAATGTTTCTCTCTCTCATTGATGTTTCTCTGTCTCCCTTCCCCTCTGTCCCTTTCTCCGTCACCAAAAGCAATGCAAAACAAAGTCCTTGGGTGAGGAAAATAAGTAAGTAAATAAATAAAATGTATAAGAAGAAATACACACTGACACACCCACAAACAGGAGGATCCAAATTTTTAAAAATATCTGTAGATCTGATCCAACACTTCACCAAGAAAGAAGATGCACATGTGAAAATAGGCACCTGAAGATCTGCTCACCGTCACAAGTCACTAAGGTGATGACATGACAGACAGATACAGAGGCACACACACCACGTGGAACAGGAAGAAAGTGGAGAAAGGGGTGCAGGACACGAGGTCAGGTAAGACAGGGTCAGCTGCTCTGGAGGGATGACACAGAACATGACTAAGAGGGAGAAACCCAGGTCTCACCAGAGTGACAGACAGACAGACAGAGAGACAGTCTGAGAGATGCAGAATGCACCAAGTGAAGGGGACAGCTCACCAAACAACTCTCACTTTCGGCCCAGCCTGACTGTCACCCCCTCAGCCACATCCCCTCCAGCTGCCTCCCAGGGCGTGCCCTGACAGCTGTGTCAGCTGCTCCCTGGAGTTACTGTCAAGGGCTCAGCAGGCTTTAATTATTCCCCTACTGTACCAGTGACACCGTGTGATGGCCATTCTGGAGATCCCAGCTAGATATCCTAGGATGAATCCCACAATCAAGAGACAAGACTGGCCTGAACCTGCTCAGGTGAGTCCCAGCATTGCCCCTCACCTACCTGTGAGCAGCAAACGAATCACTGTGGTCCACGCAACTGCTCCAGGCTAACTCTATGGTGTCGGTGTGAATGAAAGGTTCTGGTATTTCAGTTCCCGGAAAAGTCAGCAGAATATCAACCCATCCACTAGTCCTGTCTCCATCCCCCCACAGATGCAGTTGAGGCCGGTGACCCACAGGGCAGGGACTGGAGATAGGAGGTTGTTGACATAATTTCCACCTCAGCATTTCCATCCCCTGTGTCCCAGTGGACATTGTCCTGGCCTGTCCCTGGAAAACTCCCGTGGGCAGATGTGGAGCTTTCCTTAGCACCACGGGCTGAGAGTCTGGCACAGCTGGAGGACCCAGCCTGTGCTCCACGTGGGTCCTGCCCCAGACCTAACAACAGGCACCCGCTTCCCTCCTAGACCCAGCTCTGCTCCCAACATGGCATCAGGTCTCTCAGTCCTGCCTCCACTGAGGGACAAATGCTTCTTGCAGAACCTCAGTCCTGACAGCGCTCCTGCTTCACTCCCAGGTGTTCTGAGTCAATACAGTCACTGTCCCCACTTCCAGGGTCACCCCTGGAACACCAAAGTCTACGTTCCTTCCTTGAGAAGAACCTCAAAATGGGAGCAAAGGGCCAGGTGACTCCTGGAGACACAGTCATCTCAGTCCAGCCAGTTGGTCAGGGTCATGTTTTTGTCTGGGCTGCTCACGTTTGTCCCAGCATCCTGCATAGTGCCCTGTATTGGAGGAAACAGGACGTTGCTTTGTGAAAATGACCTACATTGTGACCATATGTGACTTTCCCCAGTGGGGGAGGAAGTACAGGATGAGGGGATTTGCAGGGGAAGATGTAAATGTCTCAGGGTCCTGGGCAAGGACAGGGAACAACTTAGCCCAAGTTCCTGTGGGAAAGGGGAAGGGGGATGGAGGTTTGGGCCACTTCCCTTTCATTTGTGTCACTGTGGCTTCTGTGAAAAGGCCGTTGTGTGCGTGGCTCTCACCACAGATATACTCAGTCTCCTCCTCAGACTTGATGTTGGAGATGGTTAAGTAGCAGTCAGCTCCAGAGCTGGAGCCCAAGAAACAGTCAGGGATCCTGTCCCCCTTGTTGTGACTTCCATCACTCTTAATGTACATCATGTACTGAGGGCCATTTCCTGGTCTCTGTTGATACCAGCAAATGGTGTAGGGTCTGTGCTCACTGCTGAGGGTGCAAGGGAGCTGGTCAGAAGCTCCCAGGGAGGCTGGGTCAGCACAGGTGCAGCACAGAGACCTGAAGACACAAAACATGGGGATGATGCCAAAGGCACCCAGACTGGACAGATGCCCCTTGGGACTGTGCTTGGAAGGAAACTATTGGGGAATAGGACCCCTGTGTGTCCAGGAATGCCCTGACCTGTGGAGAAAATCAGGGGCAAGAGGGAGAAGGGAGCCCAGTCCATGGTGGGAGTGGATTCCAGGAACTCTGCCCTGAGGCTGCTCAGCTGGCCCTGGTGTCTCCTAGCCCTTGTCTTATCCTCTGTCCTTGCAGCTCAACAGGGAGGAGCATGAATGCAAATCTGTCTCAGATCTCCTCTCAACCCCAAGCCTGACAGCCTCTTGCTGGTAATTTCCAGAGAAGGAGGAAGGTCCAGATGTGGGTTTCATTAAGAGTTGATTTTATCCAGTAAAACTATCTCCAAAGGAGCATCAGTCAAACTCTTTGCACTGAGCACAGCCCAGGGTTTTACACTATCAGAGTTCCCAAGGCAAGACCCATAGTGCCCCCTGGTGCCCCCAGGATTAATGTCATTCTCCATGTGAGTAGCTCAACCTATTGACTACTTTGGAGGCCTTAATAGGTGTCACATGGTTGGTGCGTGTTTGACATGCACCCCTCACCAGACATCATAATTATTCAACATGATCTTTGTGCTGAAGGCACCTTTCAATGAGCAGGGGGCCAACCTTGTAAGGTTATGATTTCCCCAGGGTCCCCCAGACTGTGATGCTGAGTCAAGGCTCCAATCCAGGGATGCAGGAGCTGGTTCTCAGGGCCTGACCTATGAATCCCCTGCCTGCCCAGGCCCTCTCCATGCCTACTGTCCTGTCCTCCCCTGTCTCATGTCCCAGCCTCCTGAGTCCCTGAGTCACAGCCCTGCCTTCTGTGTGCAGGTGCTCCGTCCCCCTGAGTCTGCTCTGAAGTGCGCTCGGATCTTCACAGTTTTGGAATCTGTGCTTCCCAGTGAAACCTGAGTCTCTCTGTGCACAGAGGTGGGGCCACGTCCACCACCACAGACAACACAGTGAGACATTGGGGATCAGGTTGGGATCCTCGGGAGAATTAGTACAGAATGCCTTTTGTAACATTGTCAAGGCCATTGAGTTTTCATGACTGTCAGAATAAGAAGAGAAATCTTTTAATATTAAGAAATACGATTGGCAAGGCACATTATTACCTAATATCTCAAACAAATGTATTTGTTTTCACATCAGTACGTTGAGAATCTAATGCAATTAATTTCCCTGAAAATGCTGGAGGCATTGACCTTGGAGGTGAGGGTGCAGCCTGGTGTGACTCCTGTGCACAGACAGACGGACAGACAGACAGACCCCTGACTCACTCCCTGAGTTTGTTCTGAGAGACAGTGGAAAGGGGACCAGGGTCTGGTGCCTGAGACACGCCCCCCACTGTCCCTAGCTGAGGGGACCACAGCAGCTCCTCTCTGCCCTTCCCACCCTGGGCATCCACTCCTCACACTCATACCTCAGGGTCCCCATGGAGCCCACTGGCCAATCCTGCAGGCCAGTGCTCACACCTTTGCTGTGGGTCTCCTGACCCCCTGGGAGGTCAGCTGTGAGTGCCATCCTGGGAGATTTCACCCTCAAAACACAATCTGTGCATGTGAGGTAAGCAAATGTATCCCTTTGTGGGGCACAGCATGTGACCCCAAATCAATAAAATCCATCTATTATTCTCCTTCTCTCTAGATCTTGGCACAAAATATAACCTTATGACTTGTGTTGATGTTAATGGAAATGATTTGCCCACTGAAGGGGTTTCTTGTACCAACAACTACTTACAAATGTATATAGACTGTGTCATTCATTCCACTAGTAAGAAAACCATGCTAGATGGATCAGAATCGTGTTTAAAATCATATTTGTATTTAGTATCGGGTCCTTGAGGACAGAAGTAGTGTGGACAGGTGACATAATAATTCCCCTTGTTCTGTCCTCAATATTTGTGGTGTAGTTGGCAAGTGGAGCAGACATTCCTTCCTAGTGACATCTGGTCACAGGATCCCCGCCCTCCTCATGCCCTGGTGGCTGCAAGGATGCGCTGCAGGGTCAGTGACACTGTCCTCTGCCCCCAGCCCAACGAGGATACGTCTCCCATCTGACCTGCTCTGACCAATGTGGTGTCCACAAGCCACATGTACCTCCTGAGGATGAAATGAGGGCGGTTCCAGTAGGAGGTGCTATAGTCTGAAATGCCCACCAGATTTTAAGATTTATGATGAAATAATGTAAAATTATCCACATTTTAATATTTAATTTATATGGAGACATTTCCACTAACAGAATTATACAGAATATATCCTGTAAATTAATCCCACCCATTTCCTGTCCTCCAGCTGTCACTAGGCCTGAGTCACACCCAGAGACAGTGCTGAACTGGGGGGCAGTTCCCTGCCACCATCCTGCTTCCCAGGGAGGGCCGAGCTGAGAGCAGCCGGGGGCCTGCAGCTGTGGTGGTGGGCGTGTGGGACCCGACTGGGCACCAGGGGATCTCACAGTGTCTGCTGCACTGGTCGGCTCCATTCAGAGCCCTGGGCGACCTCAGAGCCCGGGCCTCAGGAACTCAGTGGAGCTGGCAGCTCTGGGGATGAATCCAGAGCATTTTCACAGGGAGCAGCCCAGTCACGATAATATGGATTGTAGGACCGTGACTTCTGGACACAGGACTCAAGCAGGCTGTCATTTTGTGAGGCCCTCTTTTTAGAATTGATTCTGTGGCACAGACACAGGAGGCCAGCCTGGTCCTGCCCCCTGAATCCAGTCCTGACCCACCCTCTGCACAGCTGCCTGAGGCTGGGAGGAGGGGCCACTGGGAGACCTGAGAAAGGGGACCTGCTGAGAAAGGGGCCAAAGCTGCTCATGGCTTTGTTAGCAGTGCTGGTAGGGCCTGAGGAGAGTGTGACACAGACTGAGGTTTTTGTCTCACTTCCCCATCTGCCTGTGTCACCGTGAGAATTAGTACCACTACCCCTTGCTGCACAGTAATAGTCAGCCTCGTCCTGGGCCTGGGCCCTGCTGATGGTCAGGGTGGCCGTGTTCCCTGAGTTGGAGCCTGAGAACCGGTCAGGGATCCCTGAGGGCCGGTTGCTATCGCTGTAGATGACTGTTACAGGGGCCTGGCCGGGCTTCTGCTGGTACCAGTCAACACTTTTACCTCCAATGTTGTCTCCCCCGCAGGTGATCCTGGCTGTCTGTCCTGGCTGCACTGACATCGAGGGTGGCTGTGTCACCTCATAGGAGGCCACAGACTCTGCAAGAGAACAAAGGAGAGGTGGGCTTAAGGATGAAGGACCCCTTCCCAGGACACCTGGGCCTGCCCTTGTTGGAGAGATCTACAGGGATTCTGAGACTGGGTCATCAGTCTCAGCCCACATGTCCCACTGATGAGCTGATGCATGAAGCCTGTGAAGAAATGAGGATCCTTCTGTCCCTTTCTCCTGGCAGGTGCAGCCCCTCAGGCTCCCTCAGACCAGTGAGCACAGTGGAGGGTACAGCACCCCCATCCCCTCATCCTGCAGCTGGGTCAGGGGCACCTGGACTTCATAGGCTGAGGTCAGAATCAGGGATAGGCTTATCTAGACTCCTGGGGCTGGGGGAGGGTGAGAGTCTGGGTGCAGCACCTGTGCAGTGAGCAAGGAGGCCGAGGAGGAGAGGGGTCCAGGCCATGGTGGAGGTGCCCTGCTTCTGCTCCCTGAGGCCCCAGGCTGGGCAACTCTCCTCCCAGGTCTCTCTTATCCCCTTGCTGGAGAGACAGCTGCTGGGTATGCAAATCAGCCAGGGCTCAGGGGAGCTGCCTGAGGAGCTGTGTGGCTCCTGATGGGGGCTCAACCTGGGAGACTCAGGGAAGGGCAGGGTGGTCCCTGCAGACCCCACCTCATTCCCAGGGGATCCAGTTCCTCCCCTGGTACTGTCATGTGGGGCTGACATCTCTATACCCGACTGTCTCATGGCCTCACTCCTGGGCTGGCCTGACAAGAGCTAAGCTCAGAGGTGATGTCTGTCTGCATGTTCTGAACCCACTATAGAGCATTAACTGTAGCGGTGACAGTACAAGCCTGAGGTCTAAGCAGGGTCTCACCCCAGTGACAGAGTGTGAGCATCAGAGCCTGAAGGACATTCCCACCTTGCTCAGGGCACATGAAGCACTTGAAGCCTCTGAAATGCTGGAAGTTTCTAAGTCAGTTTCAGCTCCTGGGACAGGTGATAAATGCTGTGCCCCATGTCCCCAGTGTGTGCTAGTGCCAGGGTCAGCCCCAGTGTTAGAAAAGGTGTGACAGTTACAGAGTGTCAGCATGAATGGGGTGGGCTGGACAGGAATGAATTACCTGGACCTGAGACAGATACACAGGCCAATTCTACAGAACCCAATCTCAGAGACTCAGAGTCAGAATGCCACATCGTCCTTGTCAAAGGTGATGGTGTAGAAAACCTAGTACTCTTTCTACAGCTGTGAGTGGTGGTTAATGACCCCTGTTGACCACAATTAAATTATTTTCATTATTAATAAAGAGACACTTGGATCAAAAAATAAATGATAATATTCCCCCTGCATGGTAGAATTCCTTCCTCATGGTCTCCTTCCTCCCAGTCTCCAGGAGGTTTTTGCCAGGTGGTCTCTGCTGCCCCCTGGTGGCCTCCCCACACAGGCTGCTGGAGGAGCAGGTGTGTCCTGGGTCCAGGTGCAGAGTCTGAACCCACTACTGAGGTGGTAACTCCCTGATCCAGGGACTGAGGGTCCCAGGGGGGATTGCTATTCTCTCCATAACCACTGCCAGCCTCAAGACCAGGCACAGGAGGCTCAGATCACCCATAAAAGTACCAACAGGCTCTCTGTGGGGAGAAGAGGGCGGGTCCCACCTGAAGCATCTCTGACATATTCCTGGGGTGGCAGCTTGATTCTGGCACTTGCATGGGGGACACAGGACTCAGGGACTGCCTCTCACAGATGCCCACTGCTAGTGCAGGTTGAAGATAAGGCGCTGATGACAATTGCCCCAAAGACTGAGACAGGAGACGCTCACCCAGCAAACAGTGATTCAGCCCCACTGTGTCTGCCAGACACTGTGTCCTGGGTGAGACGTGTGAACGGGACCAGTCCTGCCTCTCAGATGCCAGTGTGCACAGGGGAGCCCACAGTGGACACGCTGGTGTGGGTGACACAGCACAGTCACCGCCATCTTTCCCTTGTATGTTGTCTCCAATCCTGTGTTCAAAGGTAGATGATTGGTCTTCCTGAGTCCCTCTTGGTGGGTGTTGAACTTGTGGCTCCGTGTTGACCCATGGGTGTGTCACTCAGCTGGGTTTTTTCCCGTGAACAACTTGAGCTCTTGTGAAGGAAAGAAACAGACTGGATTTGTGCAGCTCCTGTCTCCCTGGCCCTGGGTGTGACAGCTGAGCTGCAGCAGCCACACTGAGGTCCGTCTGCAACAAGAAGGAGAGCAGAGTCTGCACTGGAGAGATGTTGGCAAGAAAGTGAGAGACATGAGGACCTCCCAGGGCAGGTGAGTGTCTGCGGAACACCCGTCGGGCCCAGACTTGTGGCTGCAGGAGGAAAGAGGGTCCTGTCTGGCCACGTCTCTTATTGTTCTGTGTGTGTTTGCATTAAAAAAACTTTCCTGACTAATGAGGGAAATAATCAGCAGAAATCAATCGAGCCATGAAGGAAGATAATTACAGGGGAATAATTGTGCAGCAGCTGTTGTAGTATTCAGATATTGATTGCGATCACACAGGAACTGACAGGCAGGTCCCATGCGGGGAGAGGCTGGAGGGGTCTCTCTGGAGGGGACCCTGGAGCTGCCATCAGAACAGGAAGAGGAAGCAGCAGGAGGAAGGGAGTGCGGGGACAGCAGGGTCACTGCCCTGGGGGAGGGTCTGGTCTGTCTGAGCAGGAAGGACAGTGAGAAACTAAGGTGGTTGTGGTCCTAACCAGGTGGGCCCAATGTGACATGAATCTGTCACATTAAGGGATGAGGGGCAGGACTGACATCACACTGAGCACACACACCTGGCCCAGGATTCAGAGCAGCTGAAGGGGGACCCAGGGGAAGGAGAAGCCACTGCACTGTGACCCCTGTCCTGTGTCAGTGAGGTGAGGGAGCAGGTGTCCCACAGGGACTGTCACTACAGAGGGGCTGCTGCTTCCCTTCTGGTTTGCACAGGAAGTCACACGGGACCTTCTCTCCTGAGGCAGAGAATTCTGACAACACATCACTCCTGCTGCTGAACTTACAAACTTGTGAGAAAATGTCACATTCACCTGAACTAGGTGTGAGTGAGACACCTGAGTTTCTCATAACAGGTTACTCTTCCTCTCAAATCTCTGAGGTAACATTGTCATAACTTATTTTATCATATATTATAAACCACAACGTACATTGTTTTTTTGTCTTAAACAGTGATATTTTTTATGGAATATAATATGACAAAATGTTGTATATTTATCTTGGTGGTAATGATACTGGATCCCATTAATTTCTCTGTTTAGATTCCCATTTTCTCTGTCTCAGGCGGGTCCCCTGCTGTTTCTGGAACAGAGCGTCTGCGGGTGTCAGTTCTCTGAGTGTCTGTACATCTGAGAAAGTTTCACTTTGCTTCCTTTTGTGAAAGACATTTTCACTGGGAAAAGACTTGAAAGTGTACAGGTTTTTGTTGTCATCTTCTTGTTGCTGAAAGTTTTCTGCTGACTTTGCCCCCCTCTCCCCTCGTCTGTGTTGTTTCCAGGGAGATCTCTGCCCTGGTCCCTCTGCTCTGTACTCTCTGTGGACGGGCCTCGTGTCTCTGCGGCTTTTATGATTTTGTGACCTGGTCTGTGGTCCTTCTACTCATGCCCTTGTCTGTAACTCACACGCAGGCCCTGGAAACATCGGGTCAGGCCCTGTCCTGTGAGACTGAATCCACTGCTGTCCCACCCTCTGCACAGCTGCCTGAGGCTGAGGAAGAAGCCACCGGAATATCTGAGATCTGGGGACCGGGCCACACCTGATTATGGCATTGTCTCTGGTCGTGTTTGGGCTGGAGGAGAGTGTGACACAGATGGGGTTGGGAGTTTTTGTCTCACTTCCCTGTTGGCCTGTGTCACTGTGGCATTAATACCACTGCTCCATGTCTGACAGTAATAGTCAGCCTCGTCCTCAGACTGGAGGTTGGAGATGGTCAAGTAGCGGTTGGCCCCAGAGCTGGAGCCCGAGAACCGGTCGGGGATCCCGTCCCCCTTGCTGTGGCTTCCATCACTCTTAACATACATCAGATACCGAGGGGCCTTCCCTGGCTGCTGCTGGTGCCATGCAATGTTGTAGCCACTGTGCTCACTGCTGAGGGTGCAGGTGAGCTTGGCCGAGGCTCCCAGGGAGGCAGAAGCAGACGGGGGCTGGGTCAGCCTAAGTTCAGCACAGAGACCTGCAAACATAAAACACAGACATGATGCCGAATGCACCCAGACTGGACAGATGCCCCTGAAAACTGGGTTTGGAAGGGACCTCTAACTGCCCAGCGATGCCCTGACCTGTGGAGAACACCAGGGGCAGGAGGAAGAAGGGAGCCCAGTCCATGGTGGGAGTGACTCCAAGATCTCTGCCCTGAGGCTTCCCAGCTGGCCCTGGCCTCTCCAAGCCCCTGTTTATCCTCTCTCCTAGAAGCTCAAGAGGGAGGAGCATGAATGCAAATCTGTTCTCTGTTCTCAACTCTCTCAGCTCTGGTCTGAGTCCTGAGCCTAACAGCCTCCTGCTGGCAACTTCCTGAGGTCAGAACAAGGTCCAGGTGTTGCTTTCATTGTTAAGAGTTGATTTTACCCAATAGAAGTGTCTTCAAAGGAGCCTCAGTCATGCCCTTTGCCCTTGAGCCCAGCCAAGGGCACTTAACCTTTGAGTTCCCCAAACCAGGACCCGCAGTGCCCCCTGGTGTCCACAGGAGGAATATCATCCTACATGTGTAGCTAATTCATCAGATGGCTACTTCTAAGAAGTTAATGCAGGGGTGTCAAACTAATTTTCACAGGGGGCCACATGAACCTCATGGCTGCCTTCAAAGGGCTGAATGTAATTTCAGGACCGTATAAATGTAATTACTCCTTAACTCGGGGCAAGGAGCTTGGCGGTGCTGCCACTGGTAGAAACAAGGTGCCGGGCTGGATAAAACAAGACGGAGGGTCGGATTTGGCCCACAGGCCTGGTGTTTGCCACCTGTGACTTAAAGAATAGGGAACCTTGGGGAGTGTTTTATATGTACCCGTCACCTGACATCATAAAAATCCGACATCAGAATAACCCCACATGATCCCTGTGCTGAAGGCCTGGTCCCTCCTCCTGTGTGATGGGCAGGGGGCCGTCATTGTGAGGTTATGATTTTCTCAGAGCCCCCCAGACAGTGATTATGGATCAAGACTTCAGTCCAGGAGGCCGACCTTGAGCGTTTGGTCCTCTCCTTGCTCCATCCCTCTCTGGGCCCCATGTCCCTGCCCCCCCAACCCAGGACCCCTGTCCTGTCACTGCCCTCTACCCTGTTCCTGGGGGGCCGTCGTCCTGGAGTCTGCTGTGAAGAGCGCTCAGGTCCTCACGTGTCAGCACCTTTGTTTTTTAGTGACACGCGGGACTGTGTGTGGGAAACGAGGGGACCCTCCCACTGCTCCCTCCCTGGCAGAGGGCACAGGGTCCTGTGCCAAACAGGCATTGGCATCAGGTGACTGGAACAGGGTTCGCATCAGGCTGGGTCTCTAACAGTCTATGTCAGGGCTGGGTTTCTCATGTGGTCAACGCCGTTGAGTTTCCACAAGTGTCAGTATCAGGAGAGAAACCTTTTAATTTTACAAAACTGTAGGATTTCACATTTTCAAGAAAGCACTTTTTATGTGCTGTCCCACACAAATACATTGGGTGTCAGCCTGGTGGTGCTGAGGGTGCAGTGAAATGAGTTCACGTACAAAATGCTGGAGGCGCTCTGCTTGGAGGTGACGTAGCAGCCTTGTGTGACTGGAACACAGATAGACAGACAGACCCCTGACTCACTCCTCAGAGTTTGCTCTGAGAGACAGTGGAGAGGGGACCAGGGTCTGGTGCCTGAGACACGTCCCCCACTGTCCCCAGCTGAGGGGACCACAGCAGCTCCTCTCTGCCCTTCCCACCCTGGGGTGTCCACTCCTCACACTCATACCTCAGGGTCCCCATGGGACCTGCTGACCCCTCCTGCAGGCCTGTGCTCACACCTGTGCTGTGGGTCTCCTGACCACCTGGGAGGTCACCTGTGAGTAGCATCCTGGGAGATTTCACGTTCAGACCGTGACCCGTGTTTGTGAGGGAGGGAAATATATTCCTTTCTTAAAAATAGCAAGTCATCCTGCTTCAAGAAAATATTTCTTACTCTTCCCTCTAGATCACTGCACAAAATATAACATTATGACTTGAATGCCATTTATGGAAACAATAGCCCACTGAGAGGGAGATTATTTATTTAAAAATACAAAAGGAATATTGTCATCCTTACACTGACTAAAAATAAACATGTTCAATAACCCCAATTCAGGTTTAAAGCTGTAGTTGTATTTGATATTGTGTATTTGAGAATGGAACTAATGTGGGCACACATGTAAATATTCCCTCCATGTCCTGTTCTCAGCCTTCTTGGCTTGGTGGAAAGTGGAGCAGCTTTTCCTGACTATTGAGGCCTCTGTGTTATGAGACCCTCCATCGCCCCCTGGTGGCTGTCATATGTACTGCATAGACAGTTACCCAAGGTACTTTTGTCTCTAACCTTCTCTGTCCAATGTGGTGGCAACAAGTCATCACAGCTGTTGGGCATAAGATGTGGGTCATCCCAGGAGAGATGTGCTGTCGTTCTGAAAGACACAAAAATTTCAAAGCCAGTTTGAAAACAATGTAAAATATACCAATAGTTCTATATTTAATTCACATTGAAATATTTTCTTATTTTAAAACTTTTATTGTTATTCTGTTACAGTTGTCCCCATTCTTCCCCCTCTGCCTTCCTCCACCCAGCTCACCTGCCACTCCCACAGTCAGTCCCCACATTGTTTTCCATGGGTCATTCATAGTTGTTCTTTGACTAGTTCCTGCCCTTTCTTTCCACCATTGTCCCCTCCCCCTCCCCTCTGGTTTCTTTCAGTGTGTTCCACATTTCTGTAGTTCTATTTTCTCATTAGTTATTTTTTTTCCTTAGGTTCCTCTTATAGGTGAGATAATATGGTATTTTTATTTCACTCTGGCTTATTTCATTTAGCATAATATTCTCCAGTTCACGATGTCTCAAAAGGTAGGAGTTCCTTCTTTCTTTCTGCTGCACAGTATTCCATTATGTAAATGTACCACAATTTTTGATCCACTTGTTTACTGATGGGCACTTGGGTGGTTTCCAGCACTTGACTATTGTAGACAGCACTGCTATGAACATTGGGGTGCATAGGTTTTTTTGAATTGGTATATCAGGATTCTTAGGGTTTTGTTCCAGCAGTGAATTGCTGGATCAAAAGGCAGTTACATTTTTAGTGTTTTTTTCAGGAAATTCTATACTCTTTTTACAGTGGCTGCACCAGTGTGCATTCCCACCAACAGTGCAGGAGGGTTCCCTTTTCTCCACAGCCTCTCCAGCACTTGTTGTTTGTTGGTTTGTTCATGATGGCCATTCTGAAGGGTGTGGAGTGGTATCTTATTGTGGCTTTAATCTGCATCTCTCTGATAGCTAGTGATGTTGAGCATCTTTTCATATGCCCTGTGTGTCCTGCTTGGAAAAGTATCTATTCAGGCCTTTTGTCCATTTTTCAATTGGATTGTTCTTCTGCCTGGTGTTGAGTTGCATGATTTACTTACATATCTTGGAGATCAAACCCTTGTCCAATGTGTCAGGATGGGCAGGGTAGGACAATTGGGAACCTAATTACAATTATAGCATTTGGACTACAAATATGGCTGCCGTTTGGACTACAAGTAATACGGTGACTCAACTCTGACCCAGAAGAGGTGGCTGACGTCAGACCAGGAACCACCAATGATATGTTGCTTCTTTGTTCACCAAGAACCGTTCCTTGGCTCCCAAGCAAAGTCAAGCCAGGTAAAATTCCCACCCTTTCCCTTCTCCTGCAAGGTCTTTTCTTAGCCCTTTCTCCAGGCAGAGAAAACGGCGCCCGGGAGCACAAACTTCCAAAATAAAGCTCATCTGCCTGTTTCGATGGCTAATTGGCTGTTTATTTCCTTGGCAGGGTCTAAGAAAACCTTATACAATGTATCATTGGCAAATACGTTCTCCCATAGGGTCGTTTCCCTTTTCATTTTGATGATGGTTTCTTTAGCCATGCAGAAGCTTTTTAATTTCATGTAGCTTCAAACAAATGAAATCATTAGGCATAAATCAATAAACTGGTAAAGAACATTATGCTGAAAACTATTATCTGTTCATGACATTAATAAAAGATCTAAATGGACAGAGAAATATACTTTGTTTATGGATTAGAAGACTCAACATAGGAAAAATGTTAATTCTCCACAAACTGGCCTAAAGATTTAACAGAATGCAAATTAAAATCCCTGCACATTTTTTGTGGATATAAACATAAGGATTTCAAAACTCACATGGAAAGACAGAGGAACTAGACTATCCAAAATAAAGAATAAATTTAAGTAAACATATTTTTACTTCCTATAGTCTTAAGAGTAATGAAGACAGGGTGGAATTAGCAAAGAATAGACATGTTAAGCAATGGAGCATTATTGAGAATTTAGAAATAGACCCACAACAACATACTACTTAATCAAATCTTTTTTCTTTTGTTATTATTATTCAAGTACAGTTACCTCTATTTCCCCCCACCACTCCCCACACACCAGCATCTAACTGAATTAAACAAAATATATTATGAAAACTAATTCCAATGGTTTCATCTCATCTTTTAAACGTGGACCCTGCAAAATTTACAGTCATCTCTGTGTTTCATATGGGACAGGGCTGGCTGCACTTTGCAGCTCCAATACCACTCACTGGCTTCACAGAAAGGAGAAGTTCTCTCTGGCATTTGAAGGAAAGGCCGATCTTAGTTTTAGACCCAATGAGAGGCCACAGGATGGAGGAGAGGACCTGGGACTCTGGGGCTGTACCCCTGGTTTGCTGCCGGGTCCTCCCCTCTCTGGGGTGGACCTCAGACAAGGCTGCTGCCCATCTCAGCTTCCCTGTCTGTGAGGAGAGGAGATGACGAGAAGGCTCCTTCATTGCGTATTTGAGACTAAACAGTTTAGGAAATTTAAAGTGCTGTGAATGTGCTGACGTGTTTTATACACAGATGAATGCTACTCCTCCTGTTCTTATTAATATCCTTAATGCTTACACTTAATGGGAAGCAAGGACAACAGAATGGTGTGCAGAGGAAATCCTGGACAGGGAGAGTCTGGGACATCTGTCATCTCGAAACTTCTTGGCTGCACCAAAGCTCATGCACGTGTGCACACAGAGGTGCCCAGGCCCACACATGCCCTGCCCTTAGCACAGGTCATGGAGGCACATCAGCAGGCTGTGACATGCTCCCTGGGTCTCTAGTCTCAGGGACACGACTCTGGTGGTCAGCAGAAACCACACTGGATAGCACAGTAGGACCACCACACACACGGCTGCCGAGATTCGAGGTCTGTGGTATGAGTCATCTCACCCCACTTTCCCACTGGAGCCAGCCCCGCACGTGAGTCCCCATCCTGGGGGGGGACCTGGTTCTGCAGAGTCTCCAGCCTGACCTGTATGGCATTAACCTCAGGGCCTGTGCTGTGACCTGCCCACTGAGGGCAGCATGGAGGTTCGGGTGGCAGGTGAGGACCTGAAAGAGCAGGTCCCCTGTGATTGACAGATTGTGTCTTCCTGTGGTGACTGTCACTAAGCTGTGAGTGGCAGGTGGACAGCAGTGAAACCCTCCCAGTATGGTCCTAGGAGGGGTCATTCAACAGGCAGTTTCCCGAGCCCACCCTGACTGCTGCAGCTGCATCTGTATCTTAGTCCATCCCAGGGGACCTGTGTGCCCTGGTCTCAGTCACATGGAAACTCCCACTTCCTCCAGCTGTGTCCCCAACTCCTTTCTAGGCCACTGGGGCCTTGGTGCTGAACGGTCCTGTCCTCGTCAGACTGAGCTTCATTCAGGTGCCAGAACCTATAATGTCATGGAATAAAGGGTTTTACAGACATTTCCACCAGCCACATGTGTGTGGGGGTGGGGATCTGGGTGTGCCCATGGACATCTGGATAGAAATAAATGCTCACCACATCATTTGTTCTTCGCTCCAGCTGCTCTAGACTTTCCTGCTTTCCACAGGTGCTCTCCTCCATCTGCCTTGCAGCTTCTGCCTGTGTTTCTCTCTGGCTGACCCCTCCCGTGGCCCCGCTCCTCACCCAGTGCCTGCCTGAGCCCCAGCCTCCTTTCAGTTCTGTGTGCTCATCGCTTGTCTGGGAGGCGGCCTCTGACCACCACATGTTTGGAAAGACAGCGTTATGGCCCTTTATCATATTCTCAGGAGTGTGTTCACCATTAGGTGTGGGCCATTCAGAACCTTTGCCTGGAAGAACCCATCCCACCCCCTCTCCACACCAGCAATCACACCTTCTGAGGATGTGAGGGGACTAGAAACACAGCTAGAAGCAGTGGCTGCTGGTGTGAAGACATTGTGACTCCCAAGAAGAGGATGGTGCTTTGTTCTCTATTGTGTCCCTGTGGTGTATTGAGTTGACTGATGTGCAGGTGCTAAATCAACCCTGGTTCTGGGAATGAATGCCAGCCAGTCGTGGTGCATGCTCCTTGTGCAGGCGGCTGGACTGGTTTTCTAGGACGGTGTGGAGGTTTTGGTGTCTGTGTCGTAAGGGTTATTGATGTACAGTTTTCTTTCCTTGTGACATATTATCTGGTTTTTGGGTTCACAGTAAAGATGACCTCATTGAATGAGCTGGTAGGTGTCTTTTTCTCTTCTATTTTTTGGAAGAATTTATGAATAATTGGTAATAATTGTTCTTTAAATGTGTGGTGACATTCACCAGTGAAGTGTCTGTGACTGGGCCTTTCTGTGTGGCTAGTTTGTGATTACTTAGTCTCTGTGTTGTTGCGGATTTCATCAGTCTTCCTTAGTTTTCACTGAGTCAGTTTGAACATCTTCTGGTTTTCTAGAAACTTGTTCATTTCATCTACATTTTGTGGCATGCATTGGTTCCTAGTGTTCCCTTATTTCCTTAAAGTCATGTTTCATTTTTGCAGTGTCAGTAGTAACGGCTCCTCCTTATTTCATGTTTTTAGTAATTTATCTTTTCAAAATAATGTCAGTCTAGCCGTGACCAGTGTGGCTCAGTTGATTGAACACTATCCTGCCAAGCAAAAGGTCACTGGTTGGATTCCCGGCCAGGGCACATGCCTGGGTTGCGGGTTCTGTTCCCGGTCAGGGTGCACTTGAGAGGCAACTGATCATTGTTTCTCAGATTGAAGCTTCTCTCCCTTTTTTCCCCCTCCCTTCTGCTCTCTCTAAAAATAAATATATAAAACCTTTAATAAAAAATAAAAAATAAATAAAATATGATCAATCTAGCTAAAAAATTGTCAACGTTGTTGATGTTTTAAAACAACTAACTTTTAGTTTTGTTTATATTCTTCACTCCTTCTTTCCTCAATATTTAGTCTAATCTTTATTATTTATTTTGCCTGCTTTGGTTCAGCGTACTCTTCTTTTTACTATGTCTGAAATTGAAATGCTACATTACTGATTTGAGATTGTGTGTATATATATATATTAAAATTTAGAAACAGAAAACTATTTTTAACTCTATTTATTAATATACATTAAGTACATATAAATATATTTACACATAATAATTAACATAATACAGGATGGGCAAAAGTAGGTTTATAATTGTTTGTATAGAAAATAATACAATAATAAATAATAATAGAAGAATAAACTCTGTTTTTTCTGTTGGCTTCTGTTGGGCTGATGCGCCACGTCTTCACCATCATTCACTGTCCTCACATTTTCCCATTTTCCTTTGATTTCTCCATTGAGCCATTGACTATTTGGGTGTGTGCTTTCAAATTTCCATTTTCTTATCAATTCAAAAAAACTGTTTTATTGATTTCTAATTTTATTCCACTTTGGAGAAAATACAATGCATAATTTCTATCTTTTATTTATTTTTTTGATTGTAACTTTTTAATTGTATTTTTTCCATTACCATTTATCCTCATTATACTTTCTTCCCCTTCCCCCTCCCAGTTTCTCCCTTTTAAATACATTGAACCTGCTTTGTGTCCTAGAAAACAGTCTATTCTGGGGAGTGGTCTCATGTACTGGAGATGAGTATGCATTCCGTTGCTGCGGGACTGCGTGTTCTGTCTGCGTTTGCACGCCCAGAGTGTCATCTGTGTGCGACCCTCTCCTCACCCACACACTCCCCCATGGGCTGTTATTTAGTCTCGGGGGCCCTGGAGACTCCCTCTGACACAGTGAACCGGTCAGGGGATCTGTCTGGAGGGAAGCTGAGGAGGGCAGACCCGCCATGTGGTAACAACTGAGGACTGAGCAGGAAACTCTGCACAGTTATCCTCAGTGTAAGCAAGGCCTGGGGATCCTGGCATCAGGCAGTCACTCGACCTGAGTCACACTCAGAGAAAGGACACACCACCAGTGGTGGGAAAAATTCTCTGCCACCACTGACTTCCCAGTGAGGGCACATTTGGAGTTTTCTGGGGCTCCCACAGGGGTGTGTGGGTGTGAAAGCCATGATTAGGCATCAAGGTGGACACCACAGTGTCCACTACACCAGTCTGTTCCATTCAGAATCCCAGGCTGCCAGGGAACCTAGGGCTTCAGAACTCAGGTGAGCTGGGAGGGTCTGGGGATTGCTCAGTACATTTTGCCAAGGAGAAGCTTCTTGGGGCTATACATGGAAATCCAAGGCCCACTGGACATAGATTGTCATCTGGATATCCTTCAAGTGAGGACTTCTTTCTACAACTCATACTTTCTCCTGGAAACACCAGAACAGCCTGGACCAGCCAGCCCTGAATTCACTCCTGACCCACCCTCTGCAGAGCTGTTCGAGGGCTCAGAGGAGGGACAGTGTTGGGATCTCAGATCAGGGGACCTGAGCAGATGGCTCACTGATTTCCTGCACAGTTGCGCTAGGGATGGAGGAAAGTGATACACATACAGAGGAAGGGTTTGTGTCTCACTTCCCCATTGTCCTGTGTCACTGTGAGCATCACCACTGCTGCCCCATGACTGACAGTAATAGTCAGCCTCATCCTGGGCCTGGGCCCTGCTGATGGTCAGGGTGGCCGTGTTCCCTGAGCTGGAGCTTGAGAATCGGTCAGGGATCCCTGAGGGCCGGTTGCTATATCTAATAATGACCAGCACGGGGGTCTGGTCGGGCTTCTGTTGGTACCAGTGGACATCATTTTCTTGCTCGTAGTCATCATCAGATATCAACAAGATATCTCCCTGACAGGTGATGGTGGCCGTCTGTCCCAGGGCCACAGACACCGAGGAAGGCTGTGTCAGCTCAGAGGAAACCACAGAATCTGAAAGGGGGGGAGACAAGAGAGGGATTGAGAATTCAGGGACTATTCCCTTAAGGACCCACCTTAAGTCTGTATCTGGCTGAGATCAAGGTTTGGGGGGGCCAGCTCCCTGTCCTGTTGGGCTGAGAGGCAAGCAGGGCCTGGGGACAGCACCTGTGCAGAGAGTGAGAAGGGAGAGCAGCAGAGGGGTCCAGGCCATGGTGCAGACACCCCAGAGCTCTGCCTCCTGAGACCTCACAGCACCGTGGGCTCCCCAGGCCTCTCTTGTGCCCTCTCAGTCCTCTGGGGCCCTGATGTTTCAGTGTTTATGCAAATGCACTCCCCATCTGGGTTCTAAGGTGAGTAGTTAGCAGAGATCATTTTTACCACCCCCAGGGGCCAGGCTGGGTGACTGAGGAGGAAGGGCTGAGTGCCCAAATTCTTCTAGCTGCTTCTCAGGTCAGAAAATTATCCCTGGACTCTCACACCCCTGATGACGGTCACCTTCCTGGGGTCTGTCCCAAATGCTCCTAGCCAGGCGTCTGTCCTGGCCTGGCTCAGCAGGGCTGTGGGCCTTCCAGGAGCCTGGCCACAGGGCTGAGCTGGGCCCTCTGAGACTTAAGTGACAACTCCTGACTCAGCAGATACAGGGGCCTGGTCCCGACCTCTTCCTCCTCCTCCTTCACATCTTCTCTGTGTCCCCACGCACATATGAGTGTCCATCACTGGCTTTCTTTAGACGTGGTTCCATGGGGTCAGGATGCATGTGCGGTGCCTCTGGTGTGATGTGCTCCTTGTTCAATGTGCTCCTGCTTCGGGCGATTCACACCAGCTCCCAGTCTCACCCACACTGGTGTCTGTGCCCCTTCCTCCTCGCCCCTCTCCACACAGACTCGCTATGTGGGCTGTCGACTCTTTGGTTCTTTTACAATGCTGCATTAGGGTTTTAACCGACCTGAGAAAAGCTCCAGAAATCCACCTGACTGAGACCCCAGCTTCAGGCCCCATGTGCTCTGTGAGGGTCCCCCAAGCCCTGTTCTTCACACAGGTTGTAACCTCTGGGGACCAGACATTGTGGTCTCTCCTTTCAGGCTAAACTTGTTCCTGACCAAGGACAGCCTGGTGACCAGAGCTGGACCTGAGCAGGGAGAATCCCCTTCCCTCGGAGAGTCTCCTGAAGTGTCTGTGCTGCTCCAGGCAGGGACCAGAGGTTCTGACTCTGCCCTCTTCCCCTGAGATGGCCCTGAGCAAAGCAACTGCAGCCCCAGGGTCAGAGAGCACCCACAGGTGAGAACAAGAGGTAGAGGGCAGAGGTCAGGGTGTCCTTTTCCTACCCAGACACAGGGTCAGCCCCAGGATCCCTGCCTACAGAGAGGTGAGCTGCATTTCAGGTGAAGCACTCAGAGGTGCCTGTCAGGGTCCAGCAGTGACACTGTGTGAGTCTGACTGTCACAATGTGCTCATTGGGTCTCAGGGTAGAGATGGAACTTCCTGAAGTCCAGCACCTGCACTGAGCCTTGGAACTGCTGACCCCAGGGCTGGTCTCCCTCTGAGCCTCCAGCTGGGCAGCCCCAGCTTCTGCCCAGGCTGCTCCTGGATGCAGCTCCACTGCCCCCTGCCGGTGGGGAGAACTCAGACCTGGAGCTTAAGGCTTGCAGGTCACCCAGAGTGCTTGTCACCTGAGAGAGTGTGACCCCTGCCCTGTACAGCCCTGCTCTGAGAGGTCACATAAGGACTGCAAGAAGGCAGGAGGTGCTGTTCTGGTCACGCTGTCCCAGGGTTACAGGGCCCTTCCTGCTGATTGGTTTAGTTAGAAGAGTGGAGGGTGCAGAAGAAACTTTGTTCTTTTGCAAAGTGTCAAGTCCTGTAGAAACCTGCATGCTACCCTACAGGGACCCAGGCTTTCAGTGTATCTCAAACCAGAGCTGTCTCTACCCTTACCCCAGTACAGACTGTGGGACACAGACATTCCCATACTGACATCAGCTGGGCACTGAAATCAGTGTCACTGCTGTCACCCCTAGGGCAGTGAGTCCATCTCTGACTTGCCTCCCAGAGTGAGCAGTGGGCGGGGTCTGCTCTGGCCCCTGTGGCCTTTGATGAGACTGAGAGCCTCCTGCTCCTTCCATCTGGGAGCAACTCCTTCCCACAGATGTTAGCATCTGCTGGCCCCTCTCCCAGGTTCTCCAGAGGATGGACCAGGGGTGCCAGACCTGAGCCCCAACTGACCTCCTGCCCAGTGTCTAAGACACTTTCCTTTCTTTTGTACCATTTAATTTTGGGGGAATGAAAGAGTTTCCAAAATTAAGTATAAATCTTTACATTTCATAGCAGGTAAATTTGAGGCCTAGAGACTAGGTCCCCAGGAAAATTGAGAAAATGCGGTGAGTCCAGGAGAAGAGCCCCTAATTCCTAGACCCTGACCATGGCTCTTTGGGGCCGAGCATGACAGAGGCAATGGGGGAGCATCAGCTCCAGGCTGGGTGGTAGGGTGGTGTCCTCCACGCTCATTGTTGTCCCCCCTTATCCTCCTGAGTGTCATGAGAATCCCCCTCACCGGGGATGTTGGGGTGTTAGCAGCTGATCAGAAGTTGGAGCTGGAGAATTTCTGGGGACCCTCTGGCTGCTTTGCTCTGCAGGGTCTGGCCTGGGTCCTGCTGGATCTGCTTTGCTGCACTGATTGGTCGTCAGCTCCCTGACCAGTGAGAGTGACAGATGTGTCACAGCCACTCCAGTGAAAGCAACTGTATCTTTAGGAGACCATGAACGTGCAGGTCCCAGAAACAGAGGGTCACTCTCAAGGGCCCCACCCCTTGCAGCATTCCCTGGGCTGAGCTCAGGTTGTGGGTTCTGTGGGTGCAGAACCCACAGGCAGGGCCTGGGGACACCATGCTGTGCAGAACGAGCAGGAGAGGAGCCCTGGCCTCAGGGGCGATGCTCCGAGTCCTGCAGCCGGTTCTGACCCCGGGGGCCCCAGCCTCCCCCAGCGCTCAGCAGTCCCTGTGAGAATGCTTTTCAGAGGCCTGTGCGGGAGAGAGCTGTGTGTGGGCAGGATGTGTGGGTGCAGGTGGTGCCAGGCACTTACCCCTTCTCACGTACCCTACCTTGTACTGACGTGCTCTGTTTCTTTACTGTATTTGTTGTTTACTGCTGACCCCACGAGGTCAAAGCTCCACGGGGAGGGCGTTTAGTCTGTCTCCTTCCCTGTAGCAGCAGCACAGTGCACAGGGTGTGAGACCGTCAGAGACTTGGCCCTCACTTCATACAGTTGCTCCTGTGAAAGCTTCATGTGTCTACAAGACATCAGATTACCATGCGTTATTCCAACTTGATTTCAGATTCTCTGACAGGTGGCTTAGTCTAATTAATGACTTGGAGAAAAAGCAACGACTCAGCCTCAATCGTCCTAAGCAGCGGAGGCAGGTCACGGTGGTCCTCACGGGACCCATTCAGCCTTTCCAGGGCCCTGGGACTCTGCCTTTCTCTCCCTGGTGGGTAGTGGGATGTGCCAGGCGGCCTCTGTCAGGTTCCTAGAGCACCTGGGCTCATGATCTGAAGAGTTTCTTCTCTCACTGGACAAATGCAAAATCCCACAATCAGATGCAGGCACTTCAATATCTTCCTTCAGAGAGAGGAGGAAGAGAGGGGGAGGGGAAGGGGGAGGGGAAGGAGAGACATTGACCAGTAATTACACCCCTTCTTGCTAAAACAAGAACCACAGACACAGTGGCTTCATGGCAAATCCCATCAAACATGTGAGGAAGAGTAACTCCCACTCCACGGGGCTCTGTCACCACACCACCGCAGGGGGTGCCCTTTCTTATCCGTTCTCTGAGGTCAGCAGGGCTGTGATCCCCCTGACAGCTTCACACAAAGCAAACTGCAGAGGAGCACCCCAGCAGTGAGTCCACAAGCCTCAGGGACCTGTCAGGGGGAGGGATCTCACGCAGGTGCTCTGTGCACCCCAGGGGCCCCTCTGGACCCCTGGCCTTGCTCTCTCTCTCCACCTGTGTCTGCACCGCAGTCCTGTTCACCTGGCAAGGTCACGTGGGTTTCTGGTAGGCAGCCTTTAGCCGATTCTCGCTGAAAAATTCAATCTCCCCATAACTCTCTTTGAATATATTTACATGATTTCATGTTATCAGTCTTGGTGGCATTAAGTCTAACTGATGTTTAAAATGGGTTTTATTTTAAGGGTTGTGGTAGCATCTGCAGGACATACCCGATTTACCAAAGTCCCCCTTCTAGTGCTGTCGTATCGCTTCACATATGACATAGGGACATTACCTCATGTTTTTCACCCTCCGAAAATTTTGCTCACGTTGTCCTGCATTTTGCTTTAACTAACATTATAAATCACTTCATACCCTGTTACTGTTCTTTTGCTTTGAACAATATAATAAAATGTTTCTCTTCATCCATGTAGTTATCTTATCTTGTTCCTTTCATTTCTTTGCATGGATTCCTCTTTCTGTCTGGGTCACGTCCCTTCCGTCGGGGAGCTGTCCTCCCTCCCTCCCTGCACTCAGGGTCTGCTACTGGTCAGCTCTGCACGTGGCTGTGCATGTGAGCAGGGGTGGTTCTGCCCCTTCCTCAGAGGCATTTCTCTGGGCGGAACTGGAAGCCGACAGCTTTTGTGTTGGGTTGTTGTCCGTGTTCTGAAGACGCTGCTCCTGGCTCCTCCTGGTTGCGTTGCTTCCACTGAGAACCTTGCGCTTCCATTACGGATCTTCCTGTGTGGGGGAAGTGACTTTTGCTCTGCTGCTTTTTGATGGTCTCCTCCACACGGGTGTGAGGGCTTTGGTTGTGACGAGTGTGGGTGCTGTTTCCTTTGTGTTTTAGGTGCTGGGGTGTGTCATGTTCCTTGGATCTGTGGGTTCTTAATGCTCACCAAAACTGGAATGTTCTGGCCCATATTTCTTTAAACATTATCCCTTTCTACCCTGCCCACCCCACCCTTCACATCTGTTCAGGGTCCCAGGCAGCCGTCAGATCCTGCGGCCTCAGGAGCTCAGACCAGGAGGACAGTTCAGAGACCGTGGGCCCGTGAGTGACACAGCCTCCATCACGTGGACTTGCAGTGTCCTTCACCGCTGCGTGGATGTCTCCCCCTGTGTCCTTCCATTTAGCCCCCTGTGTTCCTAGTCACACCCTGGCCTTGAAATCCCCAGGACATCCTGGTTCTACCAGCCCTGAATGCAGTCCTGCCTGCCCTCGGAGAGCTGGGTGAGGGCTGGGAGGAGGGGGCAGCCTGGAGATCTCAGACCTGGGGCCTGAGTCAGACCTGCTCACAACTTTGTCTCTGCTCGTACTTGGGCAGGAGGAGAGTGTGCACAGATGGGGAAGGGGTTTTTGTCTCACTTCCCCGTCTGCCTGTGTCACTGTGAGTGTTACTACTGCTTTCTCCTGCATAACAGTAATAGACAGCCTCGTCCTCAGCCCGGGCCCCACTGATGATCAGGGTGGTTGTGTCCTCTGGTTCAGAAACAGAGAATCGGTCAGGGATCACTGAAGTTCGCTTCTCGTCACCATAGATGAGCAGCATGGGTGCCTGGCCTGGCTTCTGCTGGTACCAAGAAGGATAATATTTTCTTATGAACTCTCCTTGGCAAGTGATCCTGGTTGTCTGTCCCAAGGTCACAGACACTGCTGGGGGCTGAGTCACTTCAGAAGAGGCCACCAAACCTGTAAGGGAGGACAGGAGAGGTGAGTGTGAGGATCAGGGTCTCCTTCCCAGATTGCATACACCCTGCAGGGTCCCGTGTGCTGAGCAAAGTTCAGGGCCAGGTTGCTCCCTGGTTTCTGTGGGGGCTTAGCCTAGGGAGTCAGCACCTGTGTAGAGAGTGAGGAGGGGGAGCAGGAGAGGGGTCCAGGCCATGGTGGAGAAGCCCCAGGATCTTCCTCTGACCCACAGCTGATGATGTGGCTTCGGGGCCTGTCTTATCCTGCATAAGGGGCTCCATGCAAATCCACTTCCTTCCCCTCGTGGCCTTGCTGAGTGGCACCCGCTGGGCAGAGAGCAGCTGGGGTCAGTGGAGGGTTTAAAGTTGGGTCCTCACCTCCAGGTCTGTGCCCAGGTTGCTCAGAGCTCTCTGTGGTGTTGAGGGGAAGGTGCTGACCCCTGACTAGCCCCTGCACACATATCTGGGCTGAGTTTCCTCTCTGGTCTTGGGGAGAAGGCTCAGTCCCCTCCAGTGATGAGATCACAGTGTGGTGTGGGGTGGGGGTGCTGGAAACAGGAGCCGGTAGGGACAGTGGTCAAGCTGGTGTCAGAGGCTGGACTTTGCTCCAGGACACAGTGACACTGGTCATGTGCCTCTGGGGGAATTTCCATTACATTTTAGAAAAAAAGAGAAAAATCTTTTTTGCGTTGGTCTTGGTAAGAGTTCTTATATTTCATAGAAATGATTCATATGTAAGAGGATAGAAAATATATAGAAACCCTTTAAAATTAAAAACTTTGTTCTACAAAAGTCTCTTTTATGGAGTTAATGTGAAAAAACAATAAAGTGGGAGAAAGTACTTGGCAATCCCAATCCATCAAGGAACTAGTGTGTAAAGTGTTGAAACTAATTAATACACACAGCAAACAGCCCTGGCTGGGGCCTCAGTTGGCTGGAGCGGTGTCCAATGCACCAGGGGTTTGGGTCTGACCCCTGGTTGAGGGGCAGAGGGGAGTCGGCCAATGAGGGCGTGGATGGGCGGAGCAACAGAGGTGTGTTTTTCTCAAATTATTTAAAAAGTTTAAAAAATAAACAAAGAAAACAAAATTCAATTTGATAATGAACAAACGACACAGACAGTGGTTGGAAAAATATACACATGTCAAAAAACACACAGAGAAAAATGTTCATCAGCAGCCACCAGGGAAGGTAAGTTAAAACCAGAGCGAGACACTTGCACACTGGTCAGCACGGAGCAGACTGACTGAAGTGAAATCGGGGCAGCACCAGACACTGGTCAGGCAGCAAGAAGGGGTCACTCACTCAGTGCTGGTAGGAAGGTCAGATGGCAGAGCCACAATGGAAAAACAGTCATGTGATTAATATAGAGCTGAACATGCAGTTACCATACAACTAGTCACTGCATCACTGGGCATTTATCTCAGAAAATTAAAAACTTATGTTTACATAAAAACCCATACACAAGTGTTCACAGCACCTGTCTAGTCCCCTCAGTATGTGGTAACCAAACACCACTGAGTTGCTTGTTGGAAGAGAGAGAGAGAGAGACAGAGAGAGACAGTCTGGTCAGTGATCCCACCAGACCGGAGCCCCACCCATGACACATCCTGTGGCTTTTATTACTTCCTTGGAGTCCCCGTCTCCACATACAGCTACACTGGGAGTAACGACTTCAACGCCCGAACTTTGGAAGACACAGTCACTCAGTTGATACCAACACCCTTACACATAGGAGCCCCAAAATGAAAATAATTCAGATGTCCTTCGAGGTGATGGTTAAACAGACATTGGTACATGTGAATCACAGAATATTTTTCAGTAAAAAAAATGGACTATTGATAAACACAACATTCTTGACAAGTGTATGAGTAAATATGATGAATAAATGACCAGTTAAAAAATGTTACACAATGTAGGATTCTATTTCTACACAATTTTTCCAATGACAGACTTTGGGAGATGGAGAACCAGGTGATGGCTGCAGGGCTGAGGGGCAGGGGAAGGGTCTGGGTGGGAGGAGGTGGGTGTTGTAAAAGGGAAACACGAAGAGTCCACGTTTGATGGGACTGTGTGGAATCCTGACCGCTGTGGTGGGCACATGAGCCTGCACATGGGAGAAAAGGACATAGCCGTGGCCGGTGTGGCTCAGTTGGTCGGAGCATCATCCTCTGATCATAAGGTTGTGGGCTTGATACCTGGTCTGGGTGCATATGAGGCAAACAATCAATGTTTCTCTCTCTTCCTCTCTGTCCCTTTCTCTGTCACTAAGCAAAGAGAAATAAAGTCCTTGGGTGAGGAAAGTAAATAAATAAATAAATAAATGAATAAATAAAGTATATAGGAAGAAATACACCCTGATACACCTACAAATAGGAGGACCCAAATTTTGAAAAATATCTGTAGATTGGATCCAACACTTCACCATAAAAGAAGATGCACATGTGAAAATAGGCACCTGAAGATCTGCTCACCGTCACAAGTCACTAAGGTCATGAACACGACAGACAGATACAGAAGCACACACACCACGTGGGACAGGAAGAAAGTGGAGGAAGGGGTGCATGACCTGGGGTCAGGTAAGACAGGGTCAGCTGCTCTGGAGGATGACACAGAACATGACTAACAGGGAGAAAGCCAGATCTCACCAGAATGACAGACAGACAGACAGACAGAGACAGGGAGTGACAGTCTGAGAGATGCAGAATGCACCAAGGGAAGGGGACAGCTCACCACACACACTCTCACTTTCGGCCCAGCCTGCCTGTCACCCCCTCAGCCACATCCCCTCCAGCTGCCTCCAAGGGCAGGTCCTAGCACCTGTGTCAGCTGCTCCCTGAAGTTACTGTCAAGAGCTCAGCAGGCTTTAATTATTTCCCTACTATACCAGTGACACCGTGTGATGTTCATTCCGGAAATCACAGCTTGAAGTCCTGGGATGAATCCCACAATCATGAGACAGGACTGGCCTGAACCTGCTCAGGTGAGTGCCCGGCCTTGCCCCTCACCTACCTGTGAGCAGCAACCAGATCACTGTGGTCCACACAGCTGCTCCAGGTTAACTCTATGGTGTCGGTGTGAGTGAAATGTTCTGGTATTTCAGTCCCCAGCAAAGTCAGCAGAATATCAACCCATCCGTAATCCTGTCTCCATCCTCCCACAGATGCGGCTGAGTCCAGTGACCTACAGAGTAGAGACTGGAGGTAGGAGGCCGTCGACATATTTTCCACCTTAGCATTCCCATCCCCTGTGTCCCAGTGGACATCATCCTTGCCTTTCCCTAAAAAAGTTCTGTGGCTACATATGGAGCTTTCCTTGGTACCACAGGCTGAGAATCTGACACAGCTGAAGACCCAGCCCATGCTCTATGTGGGTCCTGCCCCAGATCACCCAATATGTTCCCACTTCCCTCCCAGAGCCAGACTACTCCCACATTAGGGTCAGGTCTCTGACCTGCCTCCCCTGAGGCACAAATGCTTCCTGCCAAACCCCACTCCTAACAGGACTCCTTCTTCACTCCCAGGTGTCCTGAGTCAATACAGTCACTGTCCCCACTTCCAGGGTCACCCCTGGAACACCAAGGTCTATGTTCTTTCCTTGAGAAGAACCCCAAGATGAAAGCAAAGTCCAGATGGCACCTGAGGTGGAGGTCATCTCAGCCCAGCCACGTGCTCAGGGTCATGTTTCTGTCTGGGCTGCTCAGGTCTCCCCCAGTGTCCTGCGTATACCCCTGTATTGGAGGAAACAGGACATTGCTTTGTCATAATGACCTAAATTGTGACCATATGTGACTGTCCCAAGTGGTGATTTGGGGAGGAAGTACAGGATGATGGGATTTGCAGGGGAAGATGTAAATGTCTCAGGATCCTGGGCAAGGACAGGGAGCAGCTTAGCCCAAGTCTCTGTGGGGGAGGGGAAGGGGGATGGAGGTTTGAGCCTCACTTCCCTTTTGTCTGTGTCACTGTGGCTTCTGTGAAAAGGCCGTCTTGTGCATGGCTCTCACCACAGATATACTCAGCCTCGTCCTCCGACTGGAGGTTGGAGATGGTTAAGTAGCGGTCGGCCCCAGAGCTGGAGCCTGAGAAGCGATCAGGGATCCCATCCCCACTGCTGTGACTTCCATCACTCTTAATGTACATCAGGTATCGAGGGCCATTTCCTGGTCTCTTTTGATACCAGCGAATGGTGTAGGTGCTGTACTCACTGCTGAGGGTGCAGGTGAGCTGGGCAGAGGCTCCCAGGGAGGCAGAAACAGATGGGGGCTGGGTCAGCACAGGCACAGCACAGAGACCTGCAAACACAAAACACAGGGATGATGCCAAAGGCACCCAGACTGGACAGATGCCCCTTGAGTCTGTGCTTGGAAAGAAACTATATTGGGGAGTGGGACCCCTGAGTGCCCAGGGATGCTCTGACCTGTGGAGAAAATCAGGGGCAGGAAGTAGAAGGAAGTCCAGTCCATGGTGGGAGTGGCTTCCAGGAGCTCTGCCCTGAGGCTGTCCAGCTGGCACTGGCCTCTCCAAGCCCCTGTCTTATCCTCTGTCCTTGCAGCTCAACAGGGAGGAGCATGAATGCAAATCTGTCTCAGATCTTGTCTCAACCCCAAGCCTGACAGCCTCTTGCTGGTAATTTCCTGAGGTTAGAAGAAGGTCCAGGTGTTGGTTTCATTAAGAGTTGATTTTACCCAATAAAACTGTCTTCAAAAGAGCATCAGTCACACGCATTGCACTGAGCACAGCCCAGGGGACTTGCACTATCAGAGTTCCCAAGGCAAGACCCACAGTGCCCCCTGGTGCTCCCAGGATGAATGTCATTCTCCTTGTGAGTAGCTCAACCTACTGACTACTTTGGAGGCCTTAATAGGTGCCAGCAGTTGGTGGGTGTTTGACATGCACCCCTCTCCAGACATCGTAATTATTCAACATGATCCTTCTGCTGAAGGCACCTTCCAATGATCAGGGAGCCGACCTTGTGAGGTTATGATTTCCCCAGAGCCCCCCAGACAGTGATGCTGAGTGAAAGCTCCAATCCAGGGATGCAGGAGCTGGCCTCAGAACCTGACCTGTGAATCCCTTCCCTGCCAGGCCCCTCTCCATGTCAGTTTATCCTGCTGTTACAGGGTGCAGCCAAGAGGGGGGACCCCAAATGGGCATTTGAAATGGGGTCCAGAACTTAAGGAGTCCAGGAGATTTTAAGATGTCTCCAAACCACACCCCCCCCACCCAGGGTGTGGGTTGGGGGAAGGGACAAATGGAGCAG